GTGGTCCCATTAGCAAAGAGCATAGGATTGATGGCCTGAATCTGGACGTGTTTGAGGACAGGAGCAGGAAATCGAGATAGAACTGGTTTTCTGTATCTCTGCATAAAACATAGCTAGATTCAGGATTTCTATCCTATCCTCTTTGCTAGTGGGACCACGACCCAGGGAAAAAAAAGGAGAGGAGACAAGTAGTCCGTTGTCCATCTTCCTCGAAAAGAAACGAAGGAAAAAAAAAAAAAAAAAAAACCCTCCACGGTTAAACATGAACAGGGCACTCAGATAATCGCACTTAGAGCGTATTCAAATTACCAGTAGCACTATTTTAAATTTATCTGACCGCATTTACGGCGCGACCTGGATGAATCTGACCGCGAATACGTCCATGAACAAGTAAAAAAGTCCTGAAAAAAAGTGGGCGGGACCACTTTTACAGCCGGTGCGCCGCGGCAGTGAAAGCACAGCACAGCACGGGCATTACATGTGTCGCTTGCGCGCGACAGTTGCCATTCATTCAATGAATACAATACAATTAGTAATTAATTAGTGCTTTGATATGTCCATGCGTTCTATTTGTGGCTGGAGAGGAAAAAACTGCAGCAAGCACTTTGATATGTCATGGTGGCGGTGTTCAGTTCTCCCTTCTCCCTCCTCCTCATCAAACTCAGTGTGATGATGATGATGATGATGATGATATCGTCATCATTATCGTCATTGATTATATCATCATTATCATCTTTGCATTATTCTTGTCATTGTCATCAGAATCATTATCGTGATTGTCGTCAGAATCATTATTATTATAAGTTATTTTCATTTGTATCAGTAGCATCATTATAATCAGAATCAGTGTGATGTCATCATCATCATCATCATCATCATCATCATCATCGTCGTCGTCGTCATCATCATCATAATCGAGATCATCACCATCGCCACCATGTCCCAATCGAGTCTCAACTTCGCGATCGCGATCGCGACACTCTAGGCAGTTGTAAACGGAATTCTGTTGACGTCATCATCGTCGTGCTTGTCATCGTGATCGTTGTCTCACTGTCCTTCGTTACCGTATTCCCCCGAATTGAACGCATGGTCATGCATAGCTGTATTTGGGGCAATATTCGGTCCGGAAACAGGGATACGGACCGTGCGTTCTATTCGGGGGAAAACGGTAGCGTTGACGAGTTGCTTGTCAGCGTGATCACCCCCTCCTCTCGCTGTCCTTCGTTACCGTATTCCCCCGAATAGAACGCATGATCATGCGTAGCTGCATCTGGGGCAACATTCGGTCTAGAAGCACGGATAGTGACCGTGCGTTCTATTCGGGGGAAGACGGTAGTGTTGATGAGGATAGCTGCCGTTGCCGATCATACGAGTATAATTGCAATGATTGATGATTAAGGATAATTGCAATGATGGATGATTAAGGATACTTGCAGTGATGGATGATTAAGGATAATTGCAATGATGGATGATTAAGGAAAATTGCAATGATTGATGATTAAGGATAATTGCAATGATTGATGAGGACGGATAATTGCAATGATTGATTCGTGAGGTTGCAATGATTACTGTTGTCATCAACAGCAATAGCGTCAACATTCGTCGTTATTGATGATTCATCAACATAGATATTGAAGTTTCACCTTTATCGGCGTTGAAGTTTCACCGTCATCGTCATAGAAGATTCATCGAATCGTCGTCATTTTCAAGGGGAGTATATTCCATTCCACCCTACTCCCTCTTTCCTCCTCCTCCTCCTCCTCCTCCTCCTCACCCTCCCCCCCGCCTTCCCTCTCTTTTCCCACCAGCTCGCTCGTTCAGGCAGGCAGACGCTACCGGTAGCGTGCCGACATCTTGAGAAATTCAGCTAATCGCCGGACTTGTACATCGCTACCAGTGGCCTAATGCTCTGCTTTTTTTTTTTTTTTTTTTCTCTAAACGAGGGTGGAAAAAAATTGCAAATGCAAAAAAAAGAAATGCAAAAAAAAAGAAATGCAAAAGAAAAGAAATGCAAAAGAAAAGAAGAAAAAAAAAGCTGCCATCCGCTGCTGAGGACTTTTTCTTTTTCCCCTTAATTCAATTTTTATGTAGGAACATTTCTTGCCCCTAATCGCTATCGCCGGACTTGTACATCGCTACCAGTGGCCTAATGCTCTGCTTTTTTTTTTTTTTTTTTTTTTTTCTCTAAACGAGGGTGGAACAACCCTTAACATCTTGTAATGCCTGTTTACAAGCATTTTGTTTCCCTCTTATTTTCATTCTTTTTTTTTTTTTTAATTAAATTCGATCTCTCGCTCTTTTTCGCTCCCTCTCTTTTTCACTCTTTTTTACTCTCTTTTTACACGCTTGCAAGTACCGGATTTTTTCTATTGCGTGTGAATAGCAATCTGGCCATTGCTTACCTTCTTCCTCTTTTTTTTCCCCCCTCTTTTTTTTCCCTCTTTTTTCCCCTCTTTTTTTTCCTTCTTTTTTTTTTCCTCTTTTTTTCCTTTTTTTTTTTTCCTTTTTTTTTCCTTTTTTTTTTTCCCTTTTTTTTTTCCTTTTTTTTTTTTTCCTTTTTTTTTCTTTTTTTTTTTTTCCCTTTTTTTTCCCTCTTTTTTTTCCCTCTTTTTTTTCCCTCTTTTTTTTTCCTCTTTTTTCCTCTTTTTTTTCCTCTTTTTTCTTTCTTTTTTTTCCCTCTTTTTTTTCCCTCTTTTTTTTCCCTCTTTTTTTACCTTTTTTTTTCCCTCTTTTATTTCCCTCTTTTTTTTCCGTTTTTTCTTTTTTTTAATCAATTTCTTTTTTTCCTCTTTTCTTTTCTTTTTTTCTTTTTTCCTTTCTTTTTCTTTTTTGCGCATGGGCTTATCCATTTTTGGATAAGGGTGTGTACCATCGGATTGGCTTATGGGTAATACAGTAATTGCTGGTGTGAGAGCGGCGGGCCTACTAGACTACTAGTAGCTCAGTTGGTTACACCCGCAAACTGTTGAAATACAGACCTGAGCTCAAATCCAGATGGCACTGGATTTCTAGTGCCATCTAGGCTGTCGCCCTTCAAAAAAAAAAAAGGGGATAATTGCTGGTGTTGCTGTGAAATACAGATAGCAACACAAAAAGATGAGAAAACACACTTTTTAAAAGTTTTTTTTTTTTTTTCTTCCCAATCTCTCTCTCTCTCTCTTTTTCATGAGAAAACGAGTTTTTAAGCCCCCAGGCACCTTTTTTTTTTTTTTTTTTTTTTTTGAACTCGAAACATTATCACTCACATTGCAAAAACAATTCGAACCGAGGCCGGCGGCGAGGGTTCCCACTAGCGAAGAGTATCGGATACATATCCTGAATGTGGACGTGTTTTAAGCAGAGATGCAGAAAAGCAGTTCAATCTCGACATTCTGCACCTTTCCTCAAACAAGTCCAGATTCAGGTGTTCAATCCGATCCTCTTTGCTAGTGGGACCTCCCCCCGGGGACCTCACAATTCTATTCTACCGGAGTTATCCTGGCAGAATTACCCTTTTTTTTTTTTTTTTTTTTCAGAATTACCCAGGTTAATGTGTTTGTTTACTATAAGTTTGTTTACTGTAAGTTTGTTTACTATAAGCTTGTGTACTACAAGCGTCAGACTTTCGAACAATAGTGATAAACAGAGGCCAAAGACTGTATTTCTTGCACGCTTCGATAAAATTTCCATTCACATCCGCATGCACTAGTCTCTAGGCGCAGAAGAAGAAACACGCTGATTTCCCTATCCGCACGTTTTTCAGCGAGGAAGTGCACCTGCCACTCGTCAGAGAGGGGCGTTCTATGCCGATCCGCCTTCCGTCAACCCCCATAACCACTTGCACACCCACCCACACAGACACCCACCTACACAGACGCACTCATATTGTGACGTTTGATGCCAAAAAAGAAAAAGAAAAAGAAAAGAAAAATAAACGAAAACGAGGTACGTCCAGCGTTTCGATTCGTGTCGATCAAACTGAATATTCAGCTTTCAAAAAAAAAAAAAAAAAAAAAAGAGGATAGCGACCGTCCGAGTCGTGTCTATGGGTCCTTCAGATCAGTCGGAGGCCACAAGAGGTACGGACTACCCCCGAATAGAACGCACGGTCATTAGAGCTGTATTTGTGGCAACTTTCAGTCTAGGTGCAGCGATAATCTACAGCGCGTCGTTATTCTTCGAGGGGAGACGGGAGCTGTTGCGGTGAAAATCTACATCTTTCTTCAAGTGTGCATTCTGCAGTATACAAGGGAAAAAAAAAAAAAAAAAAGAAGACATCGAGGGGTGTAGATTGCACCACACATCAAATGGATGGGCTTTTCCAAAGGATTACGTGTACTTCTTTTTTTTGGGGGGGGGGGGGGGGGGWACATGTACATTCTGGAGTCGCCATAATGTACATGTACATCTGGCGACTGCTGCACAATGTACCCCCCCCCCAAAAAAAAGTACATGTAATCTTTTGGAAAAGCCCATCCTTTTTTTTTTTGGGGGGGGGGTACATTTTTGCAGCAGTCGCCAGATGTACATGTACATTATATCTCGGTTGGCGATTATAAGGCGCAGAGCTGTCTCTTATACACATCTAGATGTGTATAAGAGACAGGTGCAGCAGTCGCCAGATGTACATGTACATTATATCTCGGTTGGCGATTATAAGGCGCAGAGTGTGCACGGCTTGGACTGGAAAACCTAGGCTACCAGAGTGGCCGGCCGGGCCCAAAAAAAAGAAAAATAAGAATAATAAGAAGAAAAAATTAGTAAAGAATTTCGATGTGACGCTGAGGCGAGAGTTGTTGCAGTTTATTTTTCTGCTTAGTTTTTTTTTCGTTTTTTTTTTTTTTTTTTTTTTKTTTTGCTGGGACCTTCCCTGGTCCTTKCACGACCGGGCCGCTCTGGAAAACAGGGTGACCCGGGCGGCCCGGCTTTTTTTATTTTAAAGTCCAGATCATAGTAGAGGCTGGATGCTAGGTCTGTCGTTGTACTCAGAAAACACTTTTTTTTTCCTTTTTTTTTTTTTTTTAATAATTGGGTCTGTATCTGATGCGGATCGTTGATTGGTTGGTTCACAGGCACAGAAAATCGTCCCCGCCGAGGAATGGGATGAGTTCATGTCCGTGTTCAAGAGACCCTTTTTTTTTTTTTTTTTTTAATGGGGTCTGTATCTAATTCGTCGTTGATTGGTTGGTTCACAGGCACAGAAAATCGTCCCCGCCGAGGAATGGGATGAGTTCATGTCCGTGTTCAAGAGACCCTTGCCGGCAACTTTCCGCATAAATGGAAGGTACTGCTGTACTGTACTGTTTGTTGCTGCGTGAGCCTGTCTTGTGAATCTCGCTCTTTGTATTCTTTTTAATTCGTTAAAAGGATAAAGCTAGCTCCTTTTTTAAAATTTACTATAATTTGATAATAATGATCGAAACAAGCGTGGCAGCATCCCCAAATATATTGTGGATCCATCCGATTCCGGCAGTTTTTTTAACTCGTTATTTTATCCCCTTCAACAATCAGTATATACAGATACCTTTGTTGTGTATGTAATGCTGCTATTCTACCTCATCCTACATCATATACCTTTGTTTGAAAATGTCAATTGGGACTCTACTGTAGGCCAGTTTCCCAGCACGTTTGCTCCCCTCTAATTGATCGGAGCTTTTTCTATATTAAACCACCACTACCTCCGAGCCTGTTTTTGCCGACCCTGAATTTCACTGCACACCGAGTTTTGCCCATCCTGTGTCCCATTGTATTCTCTTTTCTGGTACCCGTCGTGAGGGGGGAAAA